CCGTCGTCGACCATGAGTCTCAGGGCTGGATCGGGTCATTTCCCATCAATCAGTTTCTTATTCGTGAAAGCCAACTGGCGCTTCACCACAGAAAACTTGCGCGCTTTTTCGGGGTTCATCCTATTCCGCTTTGCAGTATGAATCGCAGCCAGCTCGCTGAAATATCGTTCACAAGTTGCAGTGTTTACGGCGATTGAAAGAATCACTGCCGCAAGCCTCGGTAGTTTTGACTCGCGTTTGACGTCTGCTGCAAAGCTCCAGAATTGCCCGACGTCTCCATTGAAGCGAACTAGTGCCTGATCTACGAAACTACCGCGATACCACTCGTGAAAGTCAACTAGCAAGCTCTCAATATCCTCCTCATCGTTTTTAGCGATGTAGCGGCGATAAAAGTAAATGCCGTATCCACATAGTCTCTCTAGAAGACGCAGTTGAGGCTCTACCTAATGTATTGCGACGGCAACACAATCGTGACGAGGATGTAAGAATAGTGCTAACAGTATCAAAGGCTGCTCGCACTTCAGCAATTGTTCCTCCACAAGCGCCACTAAATCCAAATTGACCAAATTTCCCAAAAATCCACGATATATGTCTCGGAAAGAGACAATTACATCTGCAAGCGTGTTCTCATCGCGCTCTAACTTGTAGGAAACGTTGGAGAGAGGTCTGATAACTTCTTCGGCAGATTTTAAGTTCTCCCAGAAATCTGTATCACCAAAAATCTTGAGACCTTCTGGAAACTCGGGGTCATCGATGTACCTAACCGAAAATTGGTGAAGTGCATTTCTAACACGCAAGAGGGGTGCAAAGCAGCCTTGCACACTATTCCAACGTGTTTCACAGAGATTGATAAAGCCCAATTGCTTGCCATAAATAGCCAAAACTACGGCTTGAGCACGAACCAGCCACTTCGACGACGATCCATTCAGTGTCGCAGTCGCGAGCGATGCTTTCTTCGTCAGTATTTTAAAAGCCGAGTTTAAAGCAGCTTTCACCAAGTTGTTTATATCCTGCGCAAAGCAATGAATAAACGCAATACGCGGGCACCGGAGTGCTAGAATGCAGCGCGCCCGGCGACATTGACCGGCATCATCACTTACAACAGCACCGATTTCCCAGCCCTTTTCAGTTACGTTCTCCATCACATTTTCCATTTGCTCTCCGATCGCAACACCATCATGCCTTGGCCCAGTCTTAAATAGGCCAAAAGTCAAGATAGTACCAAATAAAGCTAACATACAACCAAGTAAGTGCATTTTAGCAACGTTTTGCCAAACATCCGACAAAAATTTAACGCGTCCACCACTGAACTCCATTCGGTTTCTTAGAGCAACATGCTGCTCTTCTTCTTCGATTTGGTTGTACTTTTCCAAAATCTTCCCCATTTCTTTTCTCTTCGGTAGAGCAGTAGTACAGGCTCTTTTCAGAAAAGTAAAAAGACGTATAGTAGATCCTTTCTCAATAAATCGAACGAGCAGGCAGTTGTCGGTTTGAAACTGGATAAGAAGACGCTCGAATTCTTCATGTTTGTCTTCCGTGAATACAGTGTAAAAGTATTCGCGAATGAAGCGCTGGCGCTTGTCGGAACTAGCCGAAGATGCTACTTCTCGTTGATTTTCTTGGTCCACTTGGCGCTTGAAACCGTTAATCACACTGTGGGAAACCTGGGTAGCTTGAGGAGGCTGTACTTGGCCACTCTTGACAGCCTCTAGGTAAAATGTACAGGACTTAAGGTGGGTCTTAAAGGTAGTTGAACGCGCAGCTACAACCTTTG